AATCGTCTAATCCATACTTATTACTTCGAGTAAATAAATCACGATCAGTTAAAATTCAATCATGCTGGGAATCTTTCAATTTAGATAATCTAATTTCCATCTGATCCCATTTTTACCCGATCCGAGAAGGTGCATATCATTCGAAAAAGAGAATACTTCGTGGGAAAAGCATCCGTGTACGCGAGTCGACGAGTCGAATCCAGATTGGCAGAAAGTCTAGAATTGCATAATCCACCATCGACCTAGCAAATCCTCGCGCCGGCCTCAAAGGAGAATCCTCGTGTCGTCTCGTGTCGAAACTTTTGCGCTTTCCATCGCCGACATCCGGCACAAGAGTTCACCACCGACTCCGCAGCGCATTGTCGCGAAAATTTATCGGATGCAGAGAGAGGCGGCGTTTATTTTGACTATCCAAAACTGGGCCGAGTTTCTCGTTTCCCTGTGTACACTTCTTTGCCGGAGAAAATAAATAGATCAATTCGTTACGCGAAGCGAATACGATCGAAGCGTCTTCCATTGAAATATTTACCGTTCCATTGACAATCTCTCTGTCGCACAACTGCAACAACTCTGTTGGAAACTCTCCGCTCGTTCGTTTGCGACCAGGACCAGGAGGTGATAACGAAATAATTACTCGGTTTGCATAACTAACGTCTGTACGCGTCGTCTGAAACAAGCCTAATTATGAAAAATGCACATTTGAACGCGCACGTCGAAACGTGGCTCGTGTGACGGCCGTGCACGAGAGATTGGATACACGCGTGGCCGCTAATGAACTAATTACAAGCGCGTACTCAGCGCATATCCTGATAAGACCTGGCCGCCCCTTGTCACGTGCGTGTCGTCTACGAGGTAGTCGAGTTTAATTTCAGAGGCGGTGATGAGGCCCGTGAATATCAAAGCAAAGGACGAGGCCAACCGCGCGATATTAATATGCAATCGAAGCCCTCTTCCGTGTAAGCCGGTTATGGCGGAGCATCGCTTAATTTGATGTTCATTCGATTAATCCACCGTGGGCTGCCGTGGTAGAAATAACAATGGTTCGAGGTCCCGCTTCCGGAACTGTACTCCTGGCCTGCCGATTTGAGACGACAGTGGATACAAAAGTGGATCACACTTGCGTCGATAATTTGAGAAATAGAGAAATATTTAAATTTCTTTCAGGCGTTAGGGTTTTTTATTGAAACGGTATTTCGGAAATTTTATGAATTTTATGATGTTTGTGATCGTCGTTTGGGTGACTATGCTATGAATTCTGGTGACATTTGGCGGCTACGTCGATGGTTAAGGGAGTTGAGTTCGAGGGTTTGCTAGGTGAGAAGACGTTGGAGTTGGAATGTTTAGAGTTAGTGTTTAATCTTCTTAGCAGTGACAAATATTGTTTCACCGGTTACAAATGCTTACATTAGTCGAATTACGAATTTAGACACGTGTAACGTTCGATATTTTTCTCTATATCTCTTCGTGTAAATTTAACTGTTAAGAGATCAACCTTGCTTTTCGACAATTCGAATAAATAATTAATTAATTAAACAAAAGGAATATTTCTTAAAAATCGCCTTGACCGTAGAAATATCCGCGCTAGAGATACTTTCATTCATTTTTAAAGTCTGGATCGAGCCACGTGCTAAGAACTTCGCACTGGTCCGATTCGATCGAGATTAATATTGAACAACCGCCGTGACTTTTTCACCAACCCGATGAAAGCACAGAGCCACCGTTTTTCAATCTATTTATCCAAAGAGCCGTCCTTTCACGGACGGTAGCACGATTCCCCCAACCGTAACTTTTATCACGAGACAAAGAGCCTTGGCTACGTTTCGCCTGTTGACTCTGATCGCCGATAACCCTGTACAAACCTCGTTCGAAGTATCTCTTACGGTCCACCTACGGATTCGGACGTAATACACATTCGCGAGAAGCCACGACTCGAGGGCACTGTGAACGTGACACGTAAAAATATCATGTAGGGTACACCGATACGTCACGCGATCAGATAAAGGAAAAGGGGAGCTGACTTGGTCGTTTGTCGTTCCCCCCTCCACTCTTTTAGATAGAATCTCGACTCGCGGTGGCTCGCTTTATTTTTGCACCCGGCCATTTTGATGACTCAACTGCTTAGACGGACATTCCTTGGGAACGTTTGGTGCATCCAACGTGTTCAGTTTTCTGTACGGATTCCCGAGATCGAGATCAGAGAGAGGTAGCACCCCAGTGTCCTCTTTCTTTTCTAAATCCTGCTTAGAGCGTATACGTGAAGCAGATCGGACCGGGCGACAACGAAATTCTGAAATCTTCATCTGCATAATGTAGACTTTCGAGGGGATCAGCTGGATGGATGATGGCTCGTGCTCACATCTCGGAATAGAATTCTTTAAAAATTGTTCTTGATTCGTCTTCGTACGATCAAAGTGCATCTCTGAGCATCGTTGTACAATTCTTTTCTTTTCCTTTATGTATATTCTATTTTAACGAGATCTTAAAAGTTTTTGGAATTAGTATTGTTCGATCGTAAGATGCGAGAATGACGGAGTAACTACTTGAAGCGTTTAATTAATAACGTGAAATATCGTACGGATTGTAAAATATCGTAAATATAATCGTCTCGTAAAAGGTGTTTAAATTATCACGATTATATTATAGTACACAAAAGAAAAGCTTTAATCATCCCTCCATTTGGAATAAATTAAATTAAATTTTTCTCCCTGGAATAATGAACGTCAACGTCGCGTTTCCATTCCCCGCGACGTGTAATTACTCTTTGGACAAAGCAATCCTATTTCGCGCGTCTTGCGAATCACTCGCTCATCCAGGTAAATTCCACGGTGAGAACCGGCCCGCCAACGTTTCCCTTCAACTTCCTATCCTCGCCAATATTTGCGCGCCACGCGTCAATTATTTACGCGTAAACAGAGAACACGAATATTCATCGTTTCGCAACCCGTTAATATCGACGAATCTCGAAACGCCGTGGCAAAACGTAAACCGTGTAATTATTTCGAAAGTTCGTGATTGTTTTACGACGGTCGCCTCGAGTCTCTCTCGTTTATATGCGTCGAGGCATATAAACGAAGGCGTAAACGAAGAGAAACAATCAATTATTCGATTTCCCGATTCGCGTCACTCTATCCTTAAACGACATTTAATGGAAAGACGGATTCGACAGATTTGTAGGATAATAATTAAATCTGAGACTTAATATTATTTGTGTTAAGTTAATTTTTCGTTAGTTCGTATCGTGTTTGGATTCTTTGGATTTTTCAACAAAAGTTGAAGTTTTGAAAGACGTGTAGTGCGATTTTTCAATCGTGCAATTCTATTTTCGATTTCTGACAAAATTTCGGAGGATACGATTAATTTCTGCATTCTATTTTCATAAACAATTGAACTGTCATTCTTAATCCCATTATTCTATTATTACTTATTATCTCCAATCCAATCTTATCAATCATGCCACCCAAAATCTCTTTGTTTAAAATTAAAATAGTTATAAAAATTTCTTAACTCAAACTTCTTCGCTTGAATTATTTAGAATTCTTCGTCCGTGATAAACTGACCTGTCTCGATTCTTAATTCCCGATTCTTTGCACAATGAATATTCCTATTGTACCTTAGCCAACAGGTTGCCATAATTCTACGTGTCCATTAGAAAATAGCTGCATACCAATACGACGATATCAAAACCCTTCCGCGCCCTGTTTCCGCATCGTAAATTGCCAGCACAGAAGAATCGCAACAAACGCTTGTATTATCTTTTCCAGGCCTAGTTAAAAACCCGTGGTACCAACCGAACGGACGGCTCTATCTATGGATCCATCTATCTCCGAGTTAATTAACCGGCGAAATAAAGAACTGGGTCGGCCTGTCCTACCCCACGAGATAGACAGAACGAAGACTGATAACTGAGATCTTTGAATTTTCCCCGGTCTATGTTAATATCCTCGTCCCTCACCCTTCTCCGCGCTAACGATTCCTCCAAACTGCCCACGACTTTCCCACTTACGCTCTCGTTAGCCGACCGTGAAATTCCTCGCGCTTTTCCCTACCCCCCGCCCCGTATTTGCCACCCCGTAATGTCGGTTAATTAACGTTAATTGCGACGTGTAATGAATCGCGCTCGTATTTCCACGATTCCGATACTCGATCCTGTGTATCTGTTGCTGGCCCCGCGTACGTAATCCCCTTTTCCGCGGATAATTCGAATCGATTATCGTTGAGGAGGGGGGGATGAAACACGCGATGGGATTGAAACTTTGAATAAGATTAAGAAACGATAAAGCGTTTTGTATTTAAGTTTTATTTTCTTGGCGAGGGTTGATCGTGAAATTTGAAATACGATTCGAAATTTAGGGACTACGTTTCGTTTGTTCCGTTTTGGGATGGAAATTGAAGACGTTGAGTTTGAAAGGGAAGTTGAAAATTTAAATCGAATTACGTTTCCAAACAGAGAGGGTGTAAAGCGTTTGTCATGAGAAGCATTCGGGATGGAAAATCGAAGCAATCGATTTTAAATGCTAATGTATAAAACGATCGACGAAATCTACAGGGGAAAAAAGAAAAGGAATGAAAATCGAGAATCGGACGAAACGATTAAATTTGAAACAACGAAATATCACGGATGGTTAGGTGTATCGATTATCGGATTTTCGATTATGTTTCCGCAAAAACATCGGTGATCGTGGATAGACGTTACGATAAGACAGTTTCGAAATTGCAGGTAATTTTACAGACATCGCGAAATTAAATAAATAAATTCAATCGCGATGTATATACACGAGCGTCGGGATACGGATTTAATTATTTAAGGGGTGGTATATAGTGGGAGCTGCTCAATTTCGCCAAGAACCGCGATAAATAATTCTTGCACGGCTGGCTGGCAAGCAGCGTGGTGTGCCGCTCAATTTTTCTCATAAATCCATCAAACGATTCCTCGGGCGGGCACTTCGCGCCACCACGGAATTATCTTTCACGCCGGAAGCCGTATAAATCAAACGACTTACCGTGATCTTGAGGTCCCGCGGGTCGCACGTATCGTATCGCCTGCTGAAACGTAAAACGGTGTGCGTCTTGTTCTCGTAACCCAGTAGAAGGCAGTAGTCTTGGCTCGAGTCCATCTGGGGATCCTTGCTCGAATTCTTCACGTGTCGGTCCTGGAAACGGTAATAACGTTTCGTTAAACTTCCGCCCGATCGAATGGTAAGAACGATCGGTTGTATCTACAAAGGAGAATAAAATCAAATATCTTGATCGCATTTCCCCAAGCCTTTTTTAACCTTTGCACGGCTCGTGGACCGTGGATCCATATTTTCTGCATCGATTCGTACTTGATCGAAGCAGTAGCTTCAAATGTCGTTCGCAATTTCACAAATTGTACAATCTTATAAATTACACAATGGTAAACTGTAATACTGAAACGTTTGTTTTTTCACACAAGAATTCATTCGATATTTGGAATTAACAAATGCGTGCGGGTTCTGATTTGAATTAGAAAATAGAAGAACCGTAGATGGAAATTTTTCTATCGTTGAAAAATTGATGGAACGATTTCTGTCCTAAAAATGAGTTTCGATTAATGCAAGACGAGTAAATTAAATTTTAAAATACAACGAAAGAAATCACCGGTTTACTTTCTCGTTTCTCATTCTATCTCTACTGTTCGAACCTGTCATTAATAACATGGAATCGCCGTCTTATTCCGTTTCTTGCCCCAGGTCCTATTCCCAGGCGCAGAAAGATATCAAAGGACTTCCGAACGAGGCAAGGGACACCCCCTCCTGGCCACCGAGGCGAAATCCACAGAGAAACAGGAGGAACGAAACTATTCGCCGCGCCCTCTTTTTCACCGATCGCTTCCTTTTTTCTTTTCCTTTTCTTTCCTTTTTTTTCCCCCCCTTTTACACACCATCGTGGTCGAGAGCGGCACAAACTGACCGACCAAACCAATACCATCGAGAGTTAGTTAGTCCATCCCGTGGCAGGGCCCATGCCACGAAGACAAGTTTTTCTGCGCGAATTCCTGGTCGCCGCCTCGATATAATTATCCGCGGTTCGCCGTGGTCGCGACGCCTTCCATACCCATTGTTCCCCGCCGAACCACTACAGTTGCCCACTTTTTTTCATACCCGTTTCGGCGAGCTTTATTAGAATTTAATTTACCAGCGACGCGAACCGAGCCAACCTCATACCAACCGTGAGCTCGAACGAGTCACGCGTGTTACGCTGCTGGCCTCCTTTTGTCCCGGCATTCTTCGACTCGCCATTCGTCTCACCTCCGCCGAGTCGTACACGCGAGAGCGAAAATATAAAAAAAAAAAAAGAAGAGGCGAGGACGAGAAGAAAAAGGGAAGACAGGGGGGTAAAAAAAGGAGGGGAAGAAAAAAAATGGAATATCCATTTACGTTATCCCCGACGCGTGAAAGGCTCGAGCTAACACGGCAGCTAACTGTGACCGTGGTCCTGATTGGATATAAAATATAAAGCGTTTCTTACGATAAAAAGTATTATAGGCGTGCGTGCGAGGAGATCGCAAAAACGGGGAATCGTTCTTGGGGCGAAAAAACAGGGCGCAGGTGTGTGGGACCGTTGGAAAAGGACGATATCGTCAAAGTCACTTAGCCCCCAAAGTGACTGCCTCGTTTCGATTTCGTCTCGTTCAGATTTTTATTTAACGATTCCGCTTCCGAATTCCTTGCTCCGCTCCCTTTTTCCCTTTCTCACCCGGCTTTCCTCTCCAATCTCTCTCTTTCTTTTTTTCCTTTTTACCAGAATTTGCAATAGACACGGGCAACTGCTTTAAAATGTAACGCAGTGAATCCGGGAGAAAATTCGAATTCCTCTAGGAAACAAGAACCATTCTTTCGCTTTGAGAACGCGACGATCCCGTGCTTTGAACCCCGCTCCTGCTCCTTCCCGATATTGCCTTCGCGTTTAGCGTTTCGATGAACGCTTCCGGGCGAGATAGAGAAGAAAGGAGGGAGAGGGAGGGGTTATGGCGAACGCCGATAGCTAACAACTGCGCTCTTTTGCGAGGAGAATTCGCGCCATCGCTAGAAACGAGACGCCATGAAATTTGAACTGGGCTAGGCTATAACGTCACACCTTATTGCCGATTCAATGTGGTTTTGATCCATCATTGGCACGTCGTTTCGGCCAGATTAGAACTTATCCCAAATTGTCCGTTTTTTCTTCGAATTAGAAGTAACATCACGAGATTCGCCATGAATATCCAATATATTAGTCGCGATCTTTTATATCTAATATTAATCGTAGCTTTAATATCAAATATCTACGTTTCATTTTGGTATTACGAAAAGGATTGGCGTAGATCTTGAAATATGATCACGATCGCCGTACTCTTCAAATCCAAACTACAACCACCAAATGTGTTACGCACATAACTCAGAATCTTCCGTATAAATAAATCGATTTTTCCCGGCTAAATAATTCCAAAATTCAATACCTTCCGGCACAAAACTTCGACGGCCAGAACCTTGAAATATCACACCAAGACCAGACTACCGCGCGAGGAGATCCTGAAAGGGTCTGGAAAACCGAGAGAAGGCACCACTAACGGTGGCGGCTGAGTAATAAATAATTTCCAGCCCCGTCTCGCGCAACTTCTTCAATTTCCGCCTTCACGTCGGAAATGGAGAGCATATTTTTACCCTCCCCCTCCTTCTAGACATCTACCACCTTCACCGATCAGAAAATCGGACTTTCCCTCCTCCGCGTCACTTCTTCACTCGTCCGAAGCCACGATACTTTTCCCAGCCCCCGATTCGAAGGACGTTCGTTGAACGAGGCCGGCCGCCTCGTTCGTTCCAAGTCCCCTCCTCCCTTCTCGAATCGAGGGAAGAGCCATGATCGAGTGGAGAACGAGAGACGCGTTGTAAGCGCGCGCCAATTTTTTTCCTCCCTGTGAACGAGGCAGAGGGAGGCGGAAACGTCGTTTTCGACCGTCGTCGAATTCCGTTCCGCCACCGACCGGTGGCGAGCAATTGTCCCCCTGCTCCATCCAGGGCATGACTGTTTATTGCCATTTGAGAGGCGCGTGGAAACGTTGCGTATCCCTGCGAAAGAATGGCGGGCAACGAGTGGCGCGTGTGTCCCGCAATTATACGAATTACGTCTGAGCCATTCAACCGGAGGGACAATACCTTTCGTGGGTGGCTGACAGAGAAATCGTGCGATTCGACTTTTGTTTCGATCGGTCGGTCCGTTTTTTTTTTTTTTTTTTCTTTCGAACGAAGATGATGGGACTTGGTGGAGATTATCGACGAGTTCATCTGAAAGAATGACTTGATTGCGGTTCAACGTGTAATTTATGGATTAATTAGTTATTTCTTGTCATACTTTTTAAAATTTTGCGAGAATATTGCTTGAAATTCAACTGGAATTTGTATTAAATGTAATTACTTTTGTATGGAATTTTTATATATAAATATATATTAGTTTGTATTATTATTTTATTTATTACAAGTATAAGAAGTAAGAAATGTTTAAGAAACATGAACGGTTATGGCGAACTTTAAGTAGATTGATGACGATACTTTATTAGGCAAGCTACTTAAGTGGAACGAACCATCTGACTCACTTCTAATCTATTGAAATTCGCCTTACCGTCAAATACTCATTTCATACTTTCATACTTCTCTCTCCCTTTGTCAATTAATTAAATTATTATCCTTTCCTAATTCAATTCTCAATCCTAGCGTACATATTTATCCGCCGCGTTAAGAAAAATAATAATTATTAATCACGAGACAACGGGTGAAAAAGAAAAATTCTAAAATTCTCCAAGTTTGTCGAGAGTTGATAAAGTTTCTCCTCCACGAAACTTTTCCACGCTGCATTTCCTCGCTTCGCGTGCGACACACACGACTCGGTTCCCGCGTTGCTGAGAGAAAGAAAAAGAAGAAAAGAAAAAAAAAAAAGAGGAAAGGAAATCAGGAAATGCACGTTATAAAAATGTTATCGCGATACAAGTGTCGTTTCCACGGCGTGTACGCGTCCCACGGTCCTCTTTTCTTTCCATCGACTGTCGTTCCAGTGTTTATTGTCGCGTGGGCGTCATGCATATAGCAAACACGCGATTCCCCCTAAGTCGCTCGATTCCACGCAGCCGCTTCATTATGCAACACGCGTTGCAATTATTTGCGCAATATCCGTTCCGGGTAAATGTCGCGGGTAAAGTGAAACTTTTAAATGGAGGGAAGGATGTCGGTATCAAGCCCACGCAAGAAGGATCGAAGAATCGTTTGAGCGAAAGAGAGTGGGCGTGCAATTATGAAATGTGCCGATACCTTGGAAAAAATTCCAGAGGCGCGATGAAAAAAGGAAAAGCTCTTTTGTCTAATCTAACCTCGCGTAATAATCTATGATGTTTCTAAGCCCACACGAGTTGAAGAATTTTTGCGTGAATGGGATGAATTATTGTTGTACAGCGTGAAAGAGAAACGCGATCTATGAAATCTAGATGTCTTGGAAATTTAATCTAATCTTAATTGTTTATTCAAGGCGTTCAAAATTTTTATCTAGATTCGTTCAAATTGAAAAATCTTTATGCGAAACAGGAATGCAATTATCGAAATCGTACTGATGAAACTTTTCGAATATCACGACAAAGAAGGAAGTATTGCGTCGAGTAATGTTGATTTGCGTTTCAATCTAATCTGGTTAATTGCATCTACCGTAATACAAACCTAAATTAAAAAAATGTTTACGTGAACGAGGCGTATAATCATAAAAATCGCAATGATACCCTTGCAACTTTCCAAAGTCACGGTTTGAAAAAAAAAAAGAAACATCGAATAATGGAAGGTCTCTCCTTCGAACCTAACCCGATAATTGCATCTAATTTTACCTAAGCACACAAGTTAAACAAAGTTTAACACGAAATAGGCGTGCAATTGCGAAGAAATCGTTGGCCTTGGACCCTTCTAAAGTCACGGCAAAAAAAAAAAAAAAGAAAAAAAAGAAAAAAAAAGAGGGGAAACAGAACCTTGCATCGCAAGACCCCTTCTTCCTCGTAGAATAGAGGAGTCGCGAAAAGGACTGACACGAAAAACTTCGACAATATTCGCTTCGATCCTATTTCCTCCTTTTAGCAAACGATATCGTTCCGCTCAATTCCAGCTTCGAAACGATGAAA